ATTGCACATTCGCAAGGTTGTTTGCTAAATGTTGCAATTCAGCTGATGTGATAAAATGGCAGTCAAGATGAATGGGATGAACGGCTTGAGTGGTAACTTCACAGAAGAATGTTTTGGCCAGGTGCGGTGGCTCACACCTGTAATCGTAGCACTCTGGGAAGCTGAGGTGGGTGGATCCCTCGAGCTCAGGAGTTCCAGAACAGCCTGAGCAAGAGTAAGACCCAGTCTCTACTAAAAATAGAAAAAGTAGCTAGCCTGGCTTTGTAGCAGGTGCCTGTAGTCCCAACGCCTCAGGAGACTGAGGCAAAAAGATTGCTTGAGCCAAGAGTTTGAGATTGTTGTGAGCTATGATGCCATGGAAATCTACCAAGGGGAAGAGAATGAGACTCTGTCTCAAAAAAATTAAAGATTAATTAAAATTTTAAAATAAATTTTAAAAAAGTTATCAACAGTGATTCAGGCAGATAGCAAAGATGATAGTTAATTACAAGAACATTCACAATTAAAAAACCTAAGTGTTCATTTGGGTCATTTAATGAGACAAAGGCCATAATGACATAACAGTTTCCTTAAAAGAGAAGTCAGGCCAGCATTTTGGGAGGCAGACGCTTAAGACCAAGAGTTTGGGGGGAAAAAAAAAAAAAAGACCAGGAGTTTGAGACCAACTTTGCAACATAACAAGACTCCATTCACTACCCCCCAAAAAAAAGACAGAAAAGAAAAAGAAAAAAGTAATAAATTATTACAATTAAGAAAACTGAAGTGGAAAATGTAACCTCTAACAGTTTAAAAATTAAGGCAAAATCTGTTACCCTTAAATTATCATAGAACCAAAAATTGTTGTGGCCTATTAGGAGACCACACAAGACAGACAGAACAGCTAAACTGAATGCCAGTAGCTTAAGCTCACTAACAATGAGATGAAAAAATAGTTTCAGTCAGTATGCCTGAAATATTGAGCATTCCATAACCCAATGTTTATGGCAGCCAATGCTTATTCTTGAGCCTGTCAGATTTGAGGCCTTAAGACTTTAAGCTGCTGTCTAGAAGAAATGCAATGCAGGCCTGTATAAAAACTGTAGTGATACTTTCAAAATAAAACTTAATTTTACTAAACCAAATTAGGATAACATGCTTTAAAGAAATTTGCAAAAATATTTTACAGTTTGAAAATGTGTGCTGTATTTGCAAATACAAGAATATTTGTTCTGAGAATCCCATGAACTTAAGGTTAAAAATGGTAATGTGAAGTCTAAAATAGAGATGTAGTAGCCTAATAGTGCAGGAAAGCTCCTTCTAACAGTCTTGGCACAGTGTCCAGGCACGGTCGGTTCTCTGCTGGGGGCAACTTTCTTGGCTGTGAAGGCAGATCATGCCCTCTGCCACTCATGGGGAGCAGTTCTGCCCAACTGTCTCTTTTCAACAACTTTATCATCAATCTCTTTATTAACAGCTCCACTGCAGTCAGAAAACGCAAACAAGGACCAGTTCTCATGCCAGATTTCTGGAAATCACATAGCGCCAGGCATCACACAGTGTGAAAGTTTGTAAGGAGGGTGTTGTGCCAAGAGAGAGACAGCATCCACAAGGAACAAGCACATAAGAGTTGGGACATTTTACATTATTATATTAAAATACATATACCAAATCTCATGCCTAAAATCTGAAAAGAACCCGAACACCCACTTTTGTGTGTAAGGATGGGGATTAACAGGGGCACAGCAGTGGCACAGAGATCGTTTTACTCCCCAGAAATAACATCATTTTGAACTTCCAGAAGAGTTCTTAGAGCAAAAACAGTATTATACCCACCAAAAACCTCCAAAAGTTTTGACTATTTTAGGACTACATAACATTATTAGAAAACACAGAAGACTGAGATAAATGTCTGCAATGAGCTGTAATAAACTCATAAAACTGCAATGTTTGAATTATTCAAAATACATATTTTCAGCATGAAATCTGTTGGATCAAAAAATAACATCTTACAAATTAATTAAAGGAAATGCTCATAAAAGTCTTGTGAAATATTTTTAAGAGACTTAAATTTAAAAAACAGGTCATAATCACAAGAATAAGATAAAATTTTTTAAACTGAGGTTAAGTAAAAACTGAGCATACTAGTTGGATAGTTCCAAATTATTGGGATATATATAGTAGACTAGGTGAGACTTTATCATTTTTAAGTGTTAATTACATTGTAACAAGCCCAAGAATAAAATCTGTCATAAGTCAGCATTCTTAGTATTTTTTCTAGTCTGTTTTGTATTTCAATCTACTGATTTACTTGAAAAAACATACTGACCAAATGTGTACTAATTATTCAATTACTACAGGGAAAACTTTATAAAATGTTTCTAAAGAATTATGCATTTTGCTATCATCTGTCTTAGGGAAATAATGCCTGTGCTCTGCTAAGACCCAAAGTTCAAGCTCCCATTATTTACTACACAATGGAAAACAAACACAAAACATACTGAGCTTTCCCCAAACCATTCTCGAACCCAGTGACATGAGTGTGAATTAACAACACAAATAAAAACTCTAAGCTGGAAGGTACCTTAGAAATGTCAAAGCAAAAAGTATAAGGCTTTCATTAAAACTAAAACACACAGAGGTCTTTAGATTATTTGAGTAGTTGTATTTCCCATCATCAGGATAGAATTTGAAGATACGCAAACCAGAAGAAAAATGTTTGCAAGCTCTTATTTAAAGTATGAAAGTTTACATTTTAAACAGTAAACTCTATACTCTAAACAATACTGTACCCTTTGTAGATGATTTTAGCTAGATTGAAGTAGGAAGGATATTAAAAGATAATTGGAAGGGGGAAAAACCCACAATAATTAAAACCACAACCATCCACACACACATGTGGGGTTTGTGAAATAGGAACTTAAGCATAATCTTACTTCTACCCTTTCAAGGAAAGGCCCAATCATCACAGAAGGGAGAGGAGATATTAAAAAAAGAAAAAATGTACTTTAAATTCTATCCCTTCAACAAAATACTTGAGTGGTTTGATCAGTTGCAATGATGTTCCCAGAATACTGAGAGACAAAACCATGGCTCTGAGGAAGAAAACCAGAAGTTGAAATGATTTCCCAAGTATATGAAATCACTTCTGGAATGAAGTACAACCACTTCTAAAATATAGGGCTCAAAAATATTGATACCATCTTTCTCACTTGATGCCAGGAAAGCTATATAAAATGTAACAAGAATTTTTAAATCTGTAAGAATAAAGGAAGAACTGATTCTGCAAGTATAAGGGAAAAAAGGTACACAAATATGACTAAAGGTCATGTTTATTATAAAACATAATCTAATACTTCATTTGCCAAGTTTAGGTTTGAGTTAAGAGAGTATCCATTTGTGATTTAGAATTGCTAACTGAAGAATAACGTGGCAACTAAAAAACAAAATGAAACATAAAATTCAGGCTAAAAGGCAACTAATTTTCCTTGTACTATTGATTTTTATTATAATTAAAATAGGCAAAAGTGTATCGAAAGAACCATTCAATGTCCTTTTAGGTAAACAATTTATCTTTACGTGCACTTAAATGCACTAACAGTTAATACTTCCAGAGTTCAGTCTATAAGTTTTGTGTATTAATGATTTATCCTTTCATATATCAATTACTACTTGGAGCTGCTGATCATTTATTGCCACCTTGAATGCAGCCAGAATTAATACTACGCAGAGCTCTAAAACATTTTTCTGTGTGGAGAAAAAAAAAGAGGCATTAATTAGAAAAACTTTATTCCAGAACATACCTAGAGCCACAAAACACACAACCTTAAATTATTATTTTGCTAATTCAGCAAGATACATGAAATGTCAAAAGACCACATGGGTGATAAAACTCAGAAAGTATGGTATCTAGTCCCAAGTCTAGGTGTCTATCAAGGTAGACTTCAAGTATGGCAAGATTAATTCTGCTCATCTTAACACTAAAGTCAAGGGCAAATTTTTATAATGCTTTCCCTTTTAATGAATAGTATCAACATTTAAATTTTACTTTTATTAAAAAAGCTGTCCTGGCTCGGCGCCTATAGCTCAACCGGCTAAGGCGCCAGCCACGTACACCTAAGGTGGCAGGTTCGAATCCCCAGCCCGGACCTGCCAAACAACAATGACGGCTGCAACCAAAAAATAGCCGGGCGTTGTGGCGGGCGCCTGTGGTCCCAGCTACTTGGGAGGCAGAGGCAGGAGACTCGCTTGAGCCCAGGAGTTGGAGGTTGCTGTGAGCTGTAATGCCATAGCACTCTACCCAGGGGGACAGCTTGAGGCTCTGTCAAAAAAAAAAAAAAAAAAAGCTGTCCTACGTTACAGCCATGAATTTTTATATAATGGACAACTACATGTCCCTTAAAATAATGGGTTTTGACAGAAAGAACCAACCATCCCCTCACTAAAAACACTTAAGATCTGCAAGAGCTGGTCATCAAATATAAAAAGCAGTTCACTCCTGTGAGTTAAGCATGCTATGTTGAGCATTTAGAGATTTAAGAAAAACAATATCTGATTTGGATTTAGTAAAATAAGAAACAGAATCCTGGCTGGTTGAGGATTAAAATTCTAAATTCACTGAAAAACAACAGTGCCACCTGCTGACATCAGAGATAAACTGCCAAATGCTTTGAAACCCAACAGCTTTGAAAAGTACGTACACTGTCCACATGCACAGAATACATAACTTATAGTGTCTACAGACACAAAATAAATATTTTAGAGGTTGAAATAGCTAAAAGTGAGTAAACTATATTCATGTTTTCCTCCCTAAAGGCCAATTATATAAAAAATACTTGATTATCATGTGATATAAATATTATACTGCTAATGCCTCAGGTTAACCAGAAACAAATCTTTCCCAATGTAACCAAAATAAATTCTTTTGCCAATCTTTACTTAGAGCCATATTATAAACTTCTAAAGAAAACAAATTAAGTCACTTAAAAAAAACCCAGAATAGTCAAAAGAAATCAGCCAACTAAGAGATTGTGCTGTTTTTTTTTATTGTGTTTTCAATGGAGAAATACATCATCTGTTTACAAAATAGCTCTTGAAAAATACAAGGAGTACAGATACTATAAAACAAAGCAAACTCCAGTCATGAGACACTACATACATCATGCGAAAGCAACAGTCTGATCTCCAGGTTATGAAAACTAGAATTAAAAACTCACTACACAGAAAAGATCCAGGTTTCCAGCTTGGCAAAACTTGGGTGCAGTTACATGAAACGTTTAATAAACTGAATTGTTTTCCCCAAAGCGTAAACAAAATGACAAGACTAAATCTGTGCCTGGTAATTTCAATCTAACTCTGAAGCTACACAAAACACACAGACACCTTGTACACTTCACCTGTTAGTATGACCATCTTTTCTCATAGGTGGTGGGAGGAAGGGCAAGGTGACTGTGCAGAGCACGATGTGGGAAGTAGAAAGATTGTGTACTAGACATCATAAAATCATGGTGAAAAGAAAGCCTCAATTAATGCATAGCCTAAAGGGGGAAATACTACACTCTAACTTCAGAAAATTAATTTAGAAGGATGGGGAAGAGTTTAAGTAATTGCAGTTAAAGATGAAAAATGCACATGTGATAGAATGGAGCACAATGGAGGATTCATAAACATGCTCATCAGAAAAATCTGTTAGCCTTACTTTGTCCAGATTAAGAAAGAGTGTAAGTTTACCAACATTTGGTATCCCTCCTATTTTGTAAAGATAGATGTTTTGCTGCTTAATTATGAGAAATTATCTTCTTTCAAGAAAACTTCCTAATCTTTTGATAAAATAAAAAAGGAGTAGAGAACTGATTAGATGTCAAGTGCTTATTAGAAATGATTTTTAAAATGCTTTCATATGTAAAATTTGCTGACAAACTTTGGTAAACCATTTAAAAATAAAAATTATTTTTAAAATCCTGGAGAAAATGCCTTTTTGCTCACATGTTTAAAATTGAAAATCAATTTTACTACAGATAGTAGTTCTGTGGAGTGTACAAAATTCCTCTTATTTAGAGATCAAACGGCCATCCAAGATAGATATCATGTTTCACAGGCATTACTTTTAGTCACCCTTAAGTTTCAGCCATGGGACCAAAATTTAAGTGTTCTGTGCCATATGGTCACAGGGTCATTGGTTTTATAACATGGCTTAAAAAAATACTGGCATTTTGTTTCTTAGGAAATAAGTCCTGCCTTGTGCATACAAGCAAAAAAAGAAGAAAACGTGGGAAGGGGAGGGGCAATAAAGTTTTTTTGTTTGTTTGTTTCAAAGACAATGAAGGCAAAAGAATACAGAGCTTCCATAGCTCAAAGAAAAATATTTGCTGGCTGATCGCTGATTTGTATGCACAATAAAGTAATTCTATAAATAAAACCAATATATCATTTCTTAATCATGACCCCATCAAAACCAAGTATTTCCTAATTATACTTTCAATGTCAAATGTACCCTAGAGTTGACATTTCATTTTTAAAGGTTACAGCTACCTCATAAAGACTGAACTAGATGTACTCTTATCCTTTCTCTGAAGTATAACAGTACACCACTGCACAATGGTATCCAATTTGAAGACTAAAGGAAATTCTTCAGAAAAAAATGAAAATCCATCAAGCTGAAAATCTAAAATTAGTTCTACTTTCTAATAAAAATACATAAAAGTGCATCATCAGAATAAGTAATTCTTATGCCAGTTTGCAAATTTTCCAAACAATGCAAACATAAACCCAATCCAGATGTAAATTATGGATACAAACATAGCTTGAGGTGGGTTTTTTTTTTTTGTTTTTGTTTTTTATAAAGGCAGTAATTTTTTGAAATTGTTAATGCAACTGTTGCTAACACAATAATAATAGTACTCCTGGCTTCACATACTAACCTGGACTTCCGATCAAGTGCTGATTAGCCCAGTAAGGGAGGTCACCAAAAAAACCCAAATCCATTTTTCAGTCATGTCTAGTCTTGTACCCTCCATTCTCCTTTTTTAGCATTTGAAGACAACAGGTTGAGTTGGCAGATATTGTTTATGGACCCCTGAGGTTGTTTTTACCGATTCAATCTCAGTTTTATTGAATTCTTGATAACAGGAATAGGATTTGCAGGGAGAGCAGGGATATCAGAAAGGTCTGTACTGGATGTTTTCTGAGAATGAAAGCAAAGAACACAACATCGTTCAAAGCACTGTAATTTAATGATGAGATGTATTTTCCATTGCTTTACTTCCTAAGAAATGATGGAACCTTATCATGAGAAGGAAAAAATATTAAAAATTTAAAGAAAACTATTCTCATATGTTCTCAAAATGGAATACAAATAAATGACTATTACTAATTATTTGCTCTGTAATTGTAGAAATTTTCAAGTATGAATATTTTAATATTTTAGTAATATTAAAAACTCCTAATTTCAAATAACAGCTTTTAAAAACATGCTCCATTAAGAATCACCTATCATATAATTAAGTTAATACTAAACTGTCTTTACTTATTATAACACTGATAGCTGTAATATTAACTGGTGTTGGAGCACCCCCATGTGGGAGATGCTTAAAGTTCACCTTCTACACAGAAGCAGCAGTAAATTATTTTCTGACATTGTGAATTATAAAATTAAATCTACAAGCTAAACAATAATCATTCTACATTTTAGGTAGGTTTTTATGATATTAAACAAATTAAATCTGAGACTTCTTTAACTTTCAAAAATATGGAGACGGATTTTAAAATGTTTTATTATGGAAAATTTCAAACATACCCAAAAGTAGAGAGCACTGTATAAGTAATCCCCATGTATCTATTACCCACTTTCATCAATTATCAAATCAAAGCCAATCCAATGTCCTCCACCTTCAATCCCTGTATTATTCTGAAGCAAATCCTAGTGATTCTATCGTTTCACCTGCAAATATTTCAAGATTATCTCTAAACAGTAACAACTCTGTTAGATACAGCAACAATATCACCTTCTCAGAAATAAGTATGTCCCTATTATCACCTATTATCACCAAATAAAGTGATGTATTTGTTTTCATCAACATAATTATTCTTTTTATAAGTGGGTAGTTTTTCCTCCCAGTGGCTCTAGAAATCCTTTTGTTAAAAGGAAGATTTTGGCTTGTAAACCCACTACTTAGAGAGGCTGAGGAGAGAGGATCCTTTGAGGCCAGGAATTTGAGACCTGCCCGAGCAAAACAAAACATAAAAAAATTAGGTAGACATGGTGGCATGTGCCTAGAGTCCCAGCTACCTGGGAGGCTGAGGTGGGAGGATCGTTTGAGTTCAGGAGTTCGAGGTTGCAGCAAGCTATAATTGTACCACTGTACACTAGCCTGGTTGGCAAAATAAGACCCCATATCACAAGACCCTATTCACTCATAAAAATAATTATAAAAGGCAAATATTCATGGATAGTCATTACTATAGGGATACACTCACTAATACAAAACTAAGAAAATATTAATAATTAGTTCCTTGGAGAATAAGGTGGCAAACCATAAGATATGCAATCACAATCACAGGACAGTCTGACTTGATCAACAAGTTTGTTCATGTATCAGTATTAAGCATACTTCTAATATTATTTTACCACTTCCCTCAGGTTTTATTAGATTATGGGAAAAAAGATATTCCAGAAACTATACATTTATAGATCTTTAAAGACTAAAAGTTAACATCCAGCAAAAGCACATACTTAATTGATCACAGTAAAATATTTGTGGCACAGTATCATTGTATTATCGTATCAGTACAGCACCATTACTACGCAGCAGTTCTTATCTCAGTTATTTTGTAGAGGTTAGCCAGTTTACTTCAATAAAATATTCACTTTGTGTTTGACCCAATTTTGAGGTTTAATTAAAAGAATTTAAGGAAAAAAACAATTATTTCACAAACAAAATGAAGGTTCACAAATCAATGAAAAAAGATTTCAGGTACCTACTGCATACTGTAAGGGACTATCACAAGTAGAAACGCTAGAACAAGTTAAAAATAATTCTGAACTACTTTGAGTTATACTAAATAACTAATTGAAAACTAGTAGTGAAAACTGAAGCAGAAACACATTTTTAAAATAAAGATACTAACCTTACCAAAAAAATCCATACAGAATAGTTTTTGGTGCTTTCCTAGTTTAAATTTCACTCTGACCTATAAATAATACCTCTATATAAATCCTGTGTACATGAGTTAAGTGAAGATTTAACTGATTTGCAATAATGTAAGTAATATATAAGGGAATGAGTTAGAAACTTGAAAGCATAAAAAAATGGTTCCATTAAATCCAGTGTCCTGCCTTAAAATCATAATAAATGTATTTATAGGCTCGGAAGTAATTACTTTCATAAAGATAATTTTAATAGTCTTCTACGAATTCTCATTTTAATTAAACATACCACACTAATCTTAAAAAAATTTACAAAACTCTCCTTGCTTTTTACACTTAGTACCTGAGAGGCCAACAGAGAAGCCGCTGTCTGAATAGTTTCTGATTGAGTTGTACTTGTCTCTGTATCAAGTTGTTCCTGTGAGACAAAGAGGATGGGGAAGGGGGGAAAAAGAGACTTAAAAAAAGAACAAAAGAACATAACTGGGTTTGGTAGCTAATAAAAAAAACCAAACAAAAAAAAAACCAAACTGGAAGATGGAAGGATCAAGAGAAAGATGTGACTACATTACAAAATCATCTATCAAGCCTCATTATAAGGTTATGCCACCATTTCAGACATTCTTAAATTTCTCTTTGCCTACTTAAAGCTTGTAAGTCATAGTCAAAATACCCCATGACTTTCCAACTAGTTCCAACTTGGATATTAAGCAAACAATAATTAAAGATACATATAGGCACATTATAAAATGTTGCCCAGACAATAATTATCAGAAGGGAAACCCAAGGAAAACTCTTAGCTATGTGGAAAAAAACTAAAATCCATTCAACATTGTTAAATAAAATCACTCAGAAGTACAAAAATTGCCTCATGCCTTTAATTAAAAGTAGAAAATATGTCTCTGAAAGATTTCTCCCTTCTTATGGTGTTTACTCTTCCACCAAAATTAGTACACTGAATCTATTCTTAAGTATAAGCAGAAAACACAGAATACACAATGTCATACCATTGCTTCAAAGTTTTTTAAGGTAGTGCACAAAAGAATGTATGATACACACAAATCAAAATAAAAACTTTAATTTCTATAAAAGAATATACAGAAAAATAAAATAATGAAATATCAGGTTTCTCTTACAAAATTAAAAAAGGCAAAGCTGAGGCAGGAGACTCGCTTGAGCCCAGGAGTGGGAGGTTGCTGTGAGCTGAAATACCACAGCACTCTACCCAGGGGGACAGCTTGAGGCTCCTGTCTCAAAAAAAAAAAAAGGGGGGGGGGGCAAAGAAGGTGATAATAGTAGGAATAAAGAAGTGTAGCCTTTCTAGAGGATCACATGGTCATGTTATCAAGTTTTACAATTAAGCAAACTATTCTCCTTTCATTAATTTATCCTGAATCATCAACATGATAACTTTAACTACAGTCAATATTACAGTAAAAAAGTACAAGTTTGCTTTTTAAATCTAAATAGTTGCTAACCATAAGGAACTGGCTTTTCCAAAAATATTTGGAAAAGAAACAAAAATCATACAAAACATTACAAAAATCATAATGTAACGGTCTTAAGATAGCACTGTAAAAAGCCATTAATAATTTTGTAGATTATGTAATGATGAACATTCTTTCTTGGTTTACAAAGGGATAAAATTATAAAGCAAAGGCATTGGTATGTATGTACCTATAAGGGCACACACAAAATTTAGAAAGTCTCAGAGAGAACACTTGTTAAATATCCATCATGGGACTCTGGATAAGGTGGGAAAGCGGGGAAGAGTATCTAATTTTTCTACAACAAAGGGAAACAAAGTTAAAACCCTTCAGTATCTTTCAATTTCCAAAAAAAAAAAAAATCATCTATATTCTGAGAAAAAAAAAAAAAACAACAATCTGTTTAGCCCATCTAACTCATTCTAGCCCCATGCACCCCAGCCAAAACTGTATGCCAAAAACATCTTTCAATTTCCAAAAAAAAAAAAAAATCATCTATATTCTGAGAAAAAAAAAAAAAACAAACAATCTGTTTAGCCCATCTAACTCATTCTAGCCCCATGCACCCCAGCCAAAACTGTATGCCAAAAACAGCTTCTCTAATCATAATGTATTCTTAACCCAATAGGGAGATGGCCTTCTCATGCTGGATTGCTAAAAATTGTGTGTATCCTTCAAGGACCACTCCAAATGCTGCTTATTTTTTCGATAAAGATTTCTATAATTTCTGAAGTCAGAAATAACATTTTTTTCTCTCTTGCTTGTCAGCCCCCCAGTCCTTGATTGCTTTGATTTGCTTTAATAATGCAATTAATTACATCTTATCTTTTCCACTTAATTATAATCCCTTTTAAAGGTATAGAATGTCTTCATTCATCACTATATTCTCTTGAGAGTTCAGCATGTTATATCAGCATTAAAGAGGAAGAAACACTTCCCTAAAAAGCAATATTAAGAAGTATCTAAAACCTATAGCACAAAATATATTCTAAATACATTTCTATAACATCTTCTGTATTCTTAACTGTGTATGTATTCTAAAGGCTAAATTAGTATACCTTTGTTTCTGTTTTATCATGTCCACTCAAAGCAAGACAGTTAGCATCTTCGCTTGTTTCATCCTGTTTTTAAAAAAAAAAGCTTTATTCTCTAAAATGAAAAATTTAGATTATTTGCCAATCAATGCTTTAATTTATAAATTTTTTAAAACTATGAAATAATTAAACCTATAAGATCAAGTACAGTCTTTAAATAACTGGTTCCTTTTCAAAAATGTTTTTCAGATTAATAAATTTAATATGGCTTTATAGTAGCTACTAAAATTAAAAAAAAAAATTAGGAAAACTATTACCAGAAATCATAACCACCTAAAGTACACTCCCCAAACCACTAAATTCATAAATACTTTTTGTAAGGAGGGAAGAAAAAGAATTCCCTAATCCAACAGATGAAGCAACTTAGCATACAATCACTTCCATTTTGGGAAGCTCCATATACATATTAGCACATAAGAAGATCTGAGAAATACTATAAATATTACCACTTTAACATTCTCAAACTTAACCACAGTCTCCCTTCTTAGTAAAACCTATTACCACCCAGAATAATACAAGATTTGAGAAATGCCTGCCTTGGGTCTTAAAAATCATTTTGACACCGTTTTCTCGCCAGAACTAAAGTGTAATTTTACACATAGCTTTAAAAACAAAACAAAACACAGAAACCACAGGCTAACTTATGGATTAGAGAGACTTAATACAGTATCATCCAATTCCAGTAAGAACCTTACTTATATCCTGCAAACATACAAACTTAAAAAAACAGTAATAAAGTCACAATTGGGCAGATGGGAATACTGACTAGATACATAACACTATAAAATTATTGTTAATGTTTGTGCAATAAATATACTGTGGTTATGTTTCTTAAAAGGGCTTATTTTTAGATACACACTGAAATATTTATAATTGAAATGATATGCCTGGGATTTGCTTCAAAACAATGGGGGAGTAAGTAGGTATGCAAATGAACAAGGCGGGTCATCAATTGTTAAATATTGAAGTTAGGTGATGCAAACATGATAGTTCATTGTACTTTTGTGCTAGTGTGAAATTTTCCATACAAAAATGTTTTTAAAATGCATACAGCTTACTTTAGTTACATAATTGAGAAAATAAGCAAGCTTTTTACTATTTTTATTAAACTTTACCATTCATATGTATTTAAAAAGCTTTAGGATATGGTGAACATTAAGCAGAACTAATTACCTCACGATATCTGAAACTCTGTCAGTTTTCACATACATGTTGTTAGGTTACCAAGTGGGAAAAGTATTTCTTTCTAGTTTGCAAAAATTTCCAACATCAAGTATTCATTAGTAGAGAATAAAAGGCCCAGTTTAGAAGGGCTTCAAAATTAGGATTTTTATACTCTTTTTTTTTTTTTTTTTTTTGAGACAGAGCCTCAAGCTGTCTCCCTGGGTAGAGTGCCGTGGCATCACAGCTCACAGCAACCTCCAACTCCTGGGCTCAAGCGAGTCTCCTGCCTCCACCTCCCAAGTAGCTGGGACCACAGGGGCCTGCCACAATGCCTGGCTATGTTTTGGTCGCAGCCATCATTGTTGGCTCGGCGCCTGTGGCTCAAGCGGCTAAGGCGTTAGCCACATACACCTAAGGATATTTATACTCTTAACAAAATTCCTCAACTTTAGTACTAGGAGATTTAAGGTCCTGGCTCTTATTGTAATTAGATTTGGAAGTAGAAAAGCCACTAAACAGCACAAGAAATGAAGATTAGCCTATGAAATAACCTAAGATTTCTTCTCTGTTTCTGTTGATCAACTCCATAGAAATGGACAAATGCAAAATCTAGCCTGAGAAACTTAACAAAAAAATTGCAGGAAAAAAGGGGACAGGGAGAAGCTGTATTTTAAAAGATACTCAAAGAATATCAAACAATTGCAATGTAGTGATCATATTTTAGCTCCAGATTTGAGCAGACTTTTTTTAAAAACCGAACAAGCAGGGACATTTGAGTACAGACTAGATATTTGATAATATTAATGAATTAATTATTTAAGTGAGCTAATTTTGTTTATGCGTCCTTTTTTAGATAATTTAATAAATTCTAATGAAATGTTATGAGCAGATTTTCCTTCTAAACACTCCAAGGGTGGGGGTGGGGGGAATCAAAGATAGGGTACACAGACTGCCAGAGAGTTCATCATAACTGAAGCTGCAACTCTCTTTACTTTCATATGTATTTTTAAATTTCCATACTAAGTTTTAAAATTCTATATTTCTACTGCTTCTCTAAATCAGATAAGAAATGTGTCATTCTACCAAGGTAAGTGCAAATAAAATTGCAAACATTGTGACTAAATTTATTTAGTCAGAGATCTCAGTGTGCCATTTATAACATTAAGAAAACCAAATGTTAAACATCTAGAATTATGCTTACATATACTTTGCCGAGGTAAAAAGGAAATTTAAATTTAAATCTAAAATGCTCTGACAACTTGAAACAAATATCAGTAGGCAGAATGTATAATTTATACCAAAACTAGTGCATTCTTAGGTTGCTGCATAACACAATCATGTGGCAGCAGGACTTTAAATAAGATTCCCAAGCCTAATTCCCAGAAGATCTCTGATTCAGTATATACTGAGGAGGCTCTAAAATCTAAATTTAAAAAAAACAACAAAAAATCCTGCAAAAGTAATTCTGATGTACAACCAAGGATGAAATCACTGCCTGTAAGAGGTGATCACAGATGGGTTTTCAGAACACATCTTGTACAGTAACAGATAAAATGGCCCCTCCACATCTGCTGTTTCTGCATCTGTGAATTCAGCCAACTACTATTAAAAATATTTGGAAAAGAAACAAAAATCATACAATAAAAAAACACAAAATTGTACAGTATTAACAATTATTTACAGAGCATTTACATTATGTTAAATATTATAAGTAATGATTTATAGTACCATAATATATTTTTCATTCTTATTTAGCAAAAGAATGACAAAATTCATCAACTATTCATTTTCAGTTAACAGTTGCTGTTTCCAAAAAAAAAAAAAATCTAAATCAAAAGCCTTCAGAGTAAGCTAAGTAACAGAATACTTACAAGTTAAAGACAGATAATGTTTCACCATTGCCAATCAAAACATAATGGACTCTGTAAGAACTCTAGACTTATTTTTCATTCTAAAGAAACTTTGGTGTATAAATAAATTCCTAAATAATAAATTCTCAAGCGGAAATTGCAATGAAAAGGGTGCTTTTGGACTACCATCTCTGGGCATATAAGGAATGCTTCACTAATATGAAACAACATGAGAATAACTCCAGTGAACAAAGAAATTGTGTAACAAAACTAATTCTACTTTTAAGACAGTGTACATTTTCTTTCTTTCTTTTTTTTTTTGTAGAGACAGAGTCTCACTTTATCGCCCTTGGTAGAGTGCCGTGACCTCACACAGCTCACAGCAACCTCCAACCCCTAGGCCTGGGTGATTCTCCTGCCTCAGCCTCCCGAGTAGCTGGGACTACAGGCGCCCACCACAACGCCCGGCTATTTTTTTGTTGCAGTTTGGCCAAGGCTGGGTTTGAACCCACCACCTCGGTGTATGGTGAGTTCAAAGGTGCTGTCCCCGACAGTGTACATTTTCAATGGTTTTCTGAAAACTATTTCAGACTGCAACAAAGTAAACCAGCTACTACAAAAGCACATGTATTGCTACCAAGTTTCCTGAAGGGCGGGAAGATGTAATCATTCAAGGTCCCAAAATAAATAAATTTTACTCTGCAACCTTGTTTAGTCATTCATCAAGAATTCCTTGAGATCCTCTAGTATTCAATAATTCTGTAATACCATATGTAGTACAGAAACTCCAAAACTCCATCTGAATAAGAGAAGCAAAAACTGTCCAAAGGGGCCATCAAAAATAGTGGTACAAATAAAGAATATAGTCATTAGAGAATAATAAATTAAGATGACAAAATTCTACACTAAACTATGTTACAGACATACACATGCTAACTAAGCACATGCTTAAAACATTAAAACGAGGCACAACTTTATGGAAGAGGTACCTACTGAGAAGAGAAAGGTGAAGAGAAACTACGTTATACTATAAACACATCTAAAAATTTTCTACAAGCTTAGCCCTCTAACCCTTCTCCATTTTCACTCACAGTTTTCTTCCACTGGATTTTAAAATACACAAGCTGGTGTTACCATGACTAACTAATATATTTTATACATATATATACCTCTTCTGTTTTGGTTTTCTTGGGACTCTCTTCTTTATGAGGTGAAGACGTCCTCTTGACTCCCACTATAGGATTAGGTACTTTTGTTGCTGCATTTCCTGAAGGTCTAGGTGGTGGTGGATTTACCAGACGTGTTGAACCAACAACTCTGGAGACCGTAGGCTTTGGTGGTGGAGAAATGGCTGGTTGTGTGGCAGTTTGAGGAATGCTTTCACTCGATGTACCTAAGTAGCACATATATTCAAATTAAAAGTTATAACAACATCAAATTATAAGCTTTTATAAATTCCTCTGAATTTGATTTCATGAGTAATAATAAAATGGCATTTAAAAACTGAATTAAAACTAATTATAAAACTAGTTTTTCAAAATGAAAGTTAAACCAAATATAGCATAAGAATTATCAAACCTGTCAAACCAATCTCCTTACCCCCTGAGCTTTCACTGGAATTTACTTGTGGCACAGAAACTTCAGTAGCCTGTGTGTTGGTCACAGATGCTGCTGTTACAGCTGGAGCAGGACTGTTTCTGCTAAAAAAAAAAAAAAAAAGGTTAAATTTTTAAAATTAAAAAGCAAATAAAAAATAAGTGAAAATAAAATTCAGTAATAGTGAATACACATAGAAAAGGCAGGAGCAGTGACTCACACCTGTAATCCTAGCACTTTGGGAGGTTGAGACAGATGAATTGCTTGAGTTCACGAGTTCAAGGCCAACCTGAGTAAGAGTAAGAGCCCCCTCATCTCTACTAAAAATAGAAAAGCTAGCTGGGCATTGTGGCAGGTGCCTATAGTCTCAACTACTTGGGAGGCTGAGGCAAAAGGACCACTTGAGCTTCAAGCTCGAGTAAGCAAGCTATGATGCCATATGGCATTCTACCCAGGGCTAAAGAGGCTCTGTCTCAAAAGAAAAAAAAAATACACGGAGAGGTTATTTCTTAAACTATTCATTAGTTTTACATCCTATATACTTTAATAATGAACTTTACGTGATAAAATATACCAAAATGCAAAAGCACACAAAAATTTTAAACCACCACTTTTTTTTTTTTGAGACATAGTCTCAGTATGTTGCCCTTGGTAGAATGCCGTGGTGTCACAGCTCACAGCAACCTCTAACTCTTGGGCTTAAGCAATTCTCTCACCTCAGCCTTACAAGTAGCTGGGACTACAGGCATCTGCCACAATGCCCGGCTATTCTTTGTAGCAGTCATCATTACTGTTTAGCTGGCCCAGGCTGGTTTAGAACTGGCCAGCCTTGGTATATGTGGCTGAAGCTGTAACCACTGTGCAAAGGACACCAAGTCTAAACCACCGCTTTGCAATAGAACTTTCTATGATGATAGAAATGTCACATTTGGTTACTGGATAAAACACTGGCCAGAATAGTTCTAAAAGATCTGTTCTTAACCTATTTGGGATATAATAAAAATCCTTTTAGAAGTAGAAATAAGGGCTCGGTGCCCATAGCACACTGGTTACAGTGCCAGCCACATACACCGAGGCTGGAGGGCTTGAACCCAGCCCAGGCCAGCTAAGCAACAATGACAACTGTAACAGAAAAATAGCTGGGCATTGTGGTGAGTGCCTGTAGTCCTAGCTACTTAGGAGGCCAAGGCAAGAGAATCGCTTAAGCCCAAGAGTTGGAGGTTGCTGTGAGCTGTGATAACATAGCACTCTACCAAGGGCAACACAGTGAGACTCTGTCTCAAAAACAAAAAAGTTAGAAATAAGAATACTATGAAAATGGGAAAGAAATTTTTATATATGAAGTTTAAAGGTTGGCCAGGCAAGGTGGCTCATGGCTATAATCCTAGCACTTTGGTAGGCTTAGGTGGGTAGATTACTTGAGCGCACGGGTTCAAGACCAGCCTGACCTAGACTGAGACCTCATCTCTAAAAGCTAGCCAGGCTTTGTGGTAGGCACCTGTAGTTCAGGCTACTTGGGAAGCTGAGACAAGAGGATCACTTAAGCCAAACAGTGAGGTTGCTGTGAGCAATGACAGCACAGCACTCTACCAAATGCAAGAAAGTAAGACTTCTGTCTCAAAAAAAAAAAGTCAGGTGCAGTGGCTCATGCCTATAATCCTAGCACTCTGGGAGGCCAAGGTGTGTGGACTGCCTGAGCTCACAGGTTTAAGACCACCCTGAGCAAGAGTGAGATCCTCATCTCTGTGAAACAGCTGGACATTGTGGCAGGCACCTGTAGTCCCAGCTACTCAGGAGGCTGAGGCAAGAGAATAATCGCTTGAACCCAGGAGTCTGAGGTTGCTGTGAGCAATGACACCAGACACTTTACCAGGGCAAGAAAGTGAGACTACCTCAAAACAGAAGTCTAAAGGTGCATGAAATCCTAAACCACCACCCAAAAGACCAGGTAAAGAACAAAGATGCTTAAGTTATATTTTAGTATTTTACTTTAAAAATAAGTTATTTTAAACCATCTGTACTGGCCCCAAAAATCTATCCCTTATTTCCACTGATTTTACGTGTCAATTTCAGTAATGAATATTTTTTCTTACTTCATGATCAAACCCATTAGCCAGTAATTATCCCAAATTCTCAGTAGAAATATGAACAGACACACTTCTTCTTCCCTACATAATAGAATTATTCTTCTCATCATATATCAAAGCCTATGTGCTAAATCCTACTACCTCAAATGATCACTTTTCTATCTCTTTCAACTTTGTGTTTTAAATAAATCCTATTAGTAATTTTATTGCTTTATTATTACAATTAAGAATTTTATTATTGGCTGGGTGCCCATAGTACAGTGGTTACGGTGCCAGCCATATACATGGAGGCTGGCTGGTTTGAACCCAGCCAAGGCCAGCTAAAAACAACAATGACAACAGCAACAAAAAAGAGCGGGTGTCGTGGTGGGCACCGGTAGTCCTAGGTACGTGAGAGGCTGAGGCAAGAGAGTCACTTAACCTCAGGAATTAGAGGTTGCTGCGTGCTGTGATGCCATGGCAGTGTACCAAGGGTGACACAGTCAGACTCAAGAATTTTATTATCTAAATTCCTATACCTCTTGTGAAAGCTGAAATGTTACAACAAAGTGTAAACACTCCACTTAAGAAAGAATTGTTTTAAATAAATCCTATATATTAGCATTTAAATAAGCTCAAGTTTTTATTACCTTCAGAAAAATAAAATATAAAAACTTGTTCCTGCTGCCCTCCCGGGAGATAAACCAGCCCAGGACAGAAATGGAGCAGGTCAAAACTCCCAAGCTGATCAGTAGTGGAATCATACCTGTGAAGAGCCACTCCACTCCAGCCTAGGCAACATAGCAAGACCCCGTCTCAAAAAAATTGCTCCCCCCTCAGCTAGGCAGCCCAAATTCTGAAACTGGTAACCGAACTGGTTTTCTACCTTGAACCATACCAAGGTAGGCAGGCAACACTTGAAGAACTTTGATCTTATGGATCCATAGGGCAAGTTACCTTATTGAAGCTATGAAGCTCACTGGTACATAAATGTAAATGCAATCAATAGAGCAAGTAATAACACCCAGGGCAATATCAAGATGGGATAAAGGGGTAAAGAGTAGAGAGCCCTGAAAAGCACAAATAATTAAGCATTTAAAAAAAAAAAAGTTGGCCAAGAACAACCACATGCAGGAAAAAAACAGAAATAGCTTACAAAGTGCCTTGTACATAATACATACTCAGTATCTATTTAGCAAATACATAATCATATACTTAAAATCCAGTAATTTTATTTACAAAAGTTATTTAATATTATTTCAAAAAAACAAATTTCAAGACTAAGTTTGTGAATTACTTAGAATTCTTATACATATTTTACATACATACACACAGAGTCAAAGTACACAAAGGGTTTGACAAATTCCCAAATTCTTCTTTTCTTTTTTTTTGAGACAGAGTTTCAGTATGTCACCCTTGGTAGAGTGCTGTGGCATCACAGCTCACAGTAACCTCCAATTCCTAAGCTTAAGTGACTTTCTTGCCTCAGCCTCTCAAGTAGCTGGGACTACAGGCACCCGCCACCACACCCGGCTCTTTTTTGTTGCACTTGTTTAGCTGGCCAGGCCCGTTGAACCAGCCAGCCTCGGTGTGTGTGGCTGGCGCCGTAACCACTGTGCTACAGGCGCCAATCCCCAAATTCTTAATGTCTGCTTCTTCACTTAAAAAAAATGAAAAATAAATGTATGTAAGTTAATGCTTTATAAATTGGAAACTATTTTAAAATGACAGGACTTATATATAGGACGTGCTAGGGCTGAAGTCTTCAGATTTATGCATCACTGGCCTAAAAGCACCTCATACATATAAAGTCAAAAATGGAAGAAAATTGAACTCATTCATGACACTCCAGCATTTTCTATTTCGTACTCATTCAAGAGAATCAACTCCAACCTGCACCCTCATCCCTAGGGGTTCGTATGTTAACTGATGATCTAATTGTGTTTTTTTTTTTTT